CAATTTATTTAAATATATGTAAATCTAGAAATTATTGTTTCTTATTTTTAATATTCTTTTTTTAATTTTAATTTTGCTGTGCATTTTAAGCAAAAGTATTGTTACCTTAAAAAAATTTGATAATCTACAGAGAATTTGAAGTAACTATGCTCTTATATAATTTAATTTATTATTTGTGGTATATATCTGATTAATAATTTTAATTAAAATGATCGAAAAACTTTAATTATGATTGAGTGGAGTAAGAGTTTGAGCATTTTTTATTAATAACAATAATTACACAATGTTCTTTTTTAAAAAAAATACTTAAAGTGATAGACAACTCAAAAAAATGGGATAAATGAATTATTTTTTGTAGTTGAAAATCAAGTAAATGTACTTAATCAGCAATATTTTTGAAGATTAGATTTATTTCTTTAGTCATTATCATAAATTTTATTCTATATTAAATAAATATTTAAGTTTTGTATTTAAAAGTTTAAAATAATTTGATTTTTAGATTTAACCAATGAACAATATAGCTAGTATGAATATATATGTATAATAAATTAATTGTATGAAATTGTTGATTAATTTTATAGCAGATTATAAAACAAATCAGAAAGAATTTCATATTGAATTGATATATTTTTACAGATGAAAATAAAATTAAAAAGCTAATAAAATGAATTTAGAAATTTACTAAAGTCTAACATTATTAAATATGTAAATCTACTATGTTTATAATAAAAATAAATTGAAGATTACAATAAAATACATATTGATTCATTTAATAAATTTATAAATTCCTGTTTAATAAAGTTATGCTTTAAAGTCATTTTAAATATTTTAATGGGAACTGAGTTCTTAAAATATTTTTTTATCTTATTCTGTTAATGTATGCGATGTTTTGCATTTATCCATTAATTATTAAATAAATAATTACTACTTTTTACTTTGTTTAATTAGATTTTCATAATCAAGAAAAACATTATCAACAACTTTTAAAGTTTTTTTGATTGCTTCTTCAGATTTCATTTAATTTTCCAATAATTGATATTTCTAAGATATAATTTTAAAATACAGTTTCTTATAAAGAATTAATTAATTTCTATTGAATGACATTTGATTTATCTTTACATTCTGCATTATCTTATTTTATCTGAACGTTAGAGGTTGGGCTTAAAGCAATTTAGATTGATTATTAAATTTCTTCTGGTTATTCTATCATGCTATTTCCCTCCTCATTTTGACTATCTTCATCATCTTAAATTAAATTCTAAGAATTTGAGTTTTCATTTTATGAGTGTAAAGATTAAGATCTTTTTTCTTTTTCTTAATGCACATTAGATTTATCTCTCAATTCAAATAAATCCACACATGTTTAAACAAAAAATAAAGCATCAATTGAATTAGTTAAGATTTTATCATAAACCTTGGTTTTGGAATTAACTTCTTTCACTTTTGCTCCAATTTATGATATAGATTCGGCTCCTAGAAACCTAGTTGTCAATGTTGACCAATCATCTAGTATAAACCTAATAAATACCAAATTTCAAATTAAGTCCATCTAACATTTAAGTTCTGGAATTATAAGAAAAATTGGTGATAATTGTTTTTCTTAGTTTGATGTAGAATGAAATGGATGAATTTGATTTTTTTTAAAGAAAATATCTTTTAACGTATGAAAGATCTTATGAATTATTAGACTTTTTTAAGTAGCTAAATAAAAGGATTGTCACAAAAGATTTCATTTTGTTAGTTATTCCACTTTAAACATGAAATTTTTATTGCTAAAATATTGAATTTAAATACAGAATAATGAAGTAATAGTTGTTCAATAGGTAGTTAGCTTGTTTTCATTTATTCTAGTATTTCTAGAAAATATCCCATAATATTAACATCTTTCATGAGATTTAGATCCTTATTTTGATATTAAATTTCATTACTTTCTCATATTAAGGATCTATAAGATTAGGAATTTTTTCTTTCAAAATGTTTATAAACTTAGTGTCATCGATTTCCATATTATTAAATAATTGAAATAATGGATATTTTAAAAAAGGTTTTTCAAAGCATAACAATACCATCAATTTAAGGGTATGACTTTGAAAAGGATTGTATTCTTACAGTAGGTTATTGGAGAATTTATAATGCAAAGAATAAATAAAGGTTGGGCTCAGTTTGGCTATGTGATCAGAGCAAATAATTTTAAATTGCAAAAAAAGAATACATCAGTATGATTAAATTAAAATATCCTGGAATTTTGCAAGTACTTGAACCATTAGTTGAAGAAAAATCTCATATAGGATTTGTCACTGAAAGAATAGAATGTACATTAAGTCAAGCTTTAAATGACAGCAAATATGTATTATCAGATATAGAATTGAAATTGCATATATTAGAGATAGTAGATGGATTATAATTTTTGCATAATAATGTTAGATAAGTTCATTTAGATTTACAACCTGAAAAAATTTATTTTACAGATAATGGAAAATGGAAGATTGGAGGTTCACCATTTCAATAATAAATTTTAAATTCTATTGTTGAATGTCAAATAAGCTCAGGATATAATATTTTATACACAGCTCCTGAAATTGTAAAGTTTTATCAATTATTTCTAGCTTTCCTCTAAATAATCATGTGGTTATGCCACAGATATGTTTTCTTTAGGAATGATCATATTGCGTTTGATGAGACTTAAAAATAATCGCGTAGCTTTTCCAGAAACTTAAGATTAGGATTCTTACCTAAAATTTTTAAAAAGTTTAGATTTAATGAGATATAAGGATATTTATTAAGAATCATTTCTTCACTTTTTAGGATTAATGTTATCTTAATAAATTAACACAAGACCTACTTTATCTTAATTTGTTTAAATTGATTGGTTTAAAGACCCATATTTAATTACATTTAATATTTTAAATAAATTACCAGAATATGATATGCAATAATAAATTGTATTTTTTAAGGGACTATCAAGTGTAATATTTAATTTTGAAAAATCAATTTTAAAAAAAAGACTTTTACCTATTGTTTTAGGCTTAACTCAATATGATCATTTGCTAACAGCTATAGTCTAAATTATTCTTGAGACTATGAGAAGAGAAGATATAATAAATTCAAATTAATTTTAATCAGAAGTGTGGCCAAAACTTAAGTATTAATATTGATTTTATAAGATAAATCATTTCTGGAAAAGAAATTCCTGCTCAAGTATTGTATGATTTAGTTCTTGCTTTACCTGTCTTTCATAAATATATTAGTCAAAAAGAAATATAAGATCACTTAATACCATTATTAATAAAATGTTATGAATGCAAAGTTCCTAAATTATAAGATTTAGGAATAAGAGTAACAGAATTTGTTCTTGAGAATAATGATTACTCTTTTAGTAAAACCAAGATTTTACCAAGAATCTTTGTACTTACATAGGATTAGAATATTGAAATCAGAAAAACTACTCTTATTTGTATTTATAAAACATTAAATGTGATGGACGCTGATTTAGTTTTAACATCTTTAGAAAAAGTAAAAGCCTTAGGAACAGATAGATAATTAAATTAAATAGTTCTAAAAATATATTAATCTTTATCTAAAATTTTATCAATAGATTAAGTTTCTTAAAAATTATTACCTTAAATAACACCTTATTTAACTGATCCAACTCTTTCAAAATAAGAATTTAATGAATATTATGATACTTTGTAATAAATGCTTACACGCATCAAAAGTGAGAAAGAAAAGAATTTGAGTGATTCTAATACTAATATTATACAAGTTGATTATAAATTAGCATTACCTGAACCAAAGAGATTAATAGATAATAAAAATGAATAGTTTGAATTTCTAAATCAATTTGATTAAAGATTAACTTCAATTCCTGATAAACCTGTAATTTAAGAAGCAACAACTTAATCAACAATTTAATAAACAACTTAATCAACAACTATTTAAAATAAAACTGATTTTTCTTAATTATAAAATCAATAAGCAACAATTTTGTAGCCATCAACTTAAACAGTATATCCTATTTAAGATAATAATAATTACAATACCATACAATTAGGTTAACCTGTAACTCTAGGAACTCCCATTAATTAATATTAATAACAACCTTCTCTAAATTTATTCAATTAAACATAATTTGGTATTGCTTAGACTCCATCACAATAGAATTAATAATTGAACTAATTTTAATTATAACCTACATAATAATAGTAACATGCATCTTAAGGACTTTATTCAAATCCAATATTAGTGTAGCCAGTACAATAACATAATGGCTATCAAAATAATACAGCTTAATTGAATTAAGGATAATAAAATCAATAAGATTAAAAAAAATTAAGTACTCGCCCTCTATTTTCTAATAATATCATCCCTTAATAGCAATAATAATAATAATAATATTAATCATCACAATAATTTTTATAATAGACTTAGAAGTAAGAAAATAATTTTTTCGAAAAAACAAATGATCCATGGAGTGCTTTTAATTCAGGTGTTACGTAAGATCCTTGGGCATAATTTTAAAATCCAGTGGTTTAAAATCAAAATTAAACTTAAAATTAGGAAATTTGGGGGATATAAAATTAACCAACTCAATAATAACCATAAAGTCAAAAATCATTAAAGAATAAGTATGCCAGCTTTGATGAATTAATATGAAGTATTTTACAAATTATATTATAAATCTTTATCAAATTTCTAACCTCAAAGGTTAAGATATCCAAAAGAAATAAAATATTTCGCATCCTAAAATAACAAGAATCAAAATAATGGATGAAATTTATACACATTTTAAATCAGTATCATAATCTCTAAAAGTAGAAAATAATTAATACACTTTCATCAATTATTTAGAAAATGCAAATGCTAATAAGGTTCCATATAAATAAGAACCTAATATTCCAATTTAATCTATAATTTCCCAATACCATGCTTACCAAAAGAAAATTATTAATCCAAAAATGATTACTCCAACCATTTAATATCTTCCAGAACCTGAATAACTCCATTTATCCCATTTTAATAAAGTGTATCCAAAAAGAACTCCATTAAAAGTTGAAGGAACCAAAACTCCATTAATATGCAATTTCGATGTGTAACAACAGCTTAATAATGTTCCTCCAAATCCACCAAATACACTTATCATCCACAATTTCTTCCATCCTAACAATTTTTCCACATAAGATCCATATATTGCAACAGCCACTTAACAAGAAAAATAATTGATGAAATTGGAATACAATAAGAGACTTAAAAATAATCGTTAAATCTCCTATTCATATTTAACTCTGTATGGATAGAGCATACCTAAAGAATATAAAGACTATAAATAAAACTAATAATTTAAACATTTTAATTAGGTTCGAGAAATTATCCACCATCTTTAATATCTCCACTTATTATAAGTATGATAAAGTAAAATGAATTGAATATGATGAGTATTGTAGTCATACTTTATAATTTAAATGTTGGAAGGCAAGTATAAGTTATCATCTCAGTAAATTTCTCATCTCTTGGATATTTTAAAGAATTTTGAAAATTTACTATAGATGATAAATTTCAAATACTAAAGTAAGGAGGATCAGATTCTTAACTTCTCCAAATGCTCATTAAAGCTTAAGGCGTTGGTTATCCAGTGGATGATTAAGCAAAACTCATTTATTTATAATTTTTATTATAATCAATCAATATTTTAATATAATTACCGCCAAAAGAAACAATGGATGATTTTGATTAGATCCAATTTGAAAAGAATTTGTTTATCTATTATAAGCATTTATTCCCAATATAAATGATAGTAGAATGGTTAACATATGCAAAAGATAATTAACCTGAAAAAAAGTATTTTAGCAGAAGAGAATTTTCTTTTGAAAAGAATATAGGAGGAGAAACCATTTATTAAAGATATTAATAATTTTAAAATGCAAATGGACTCCAGTAATTTCTTTTGGAAAATAATTCACTTGATTAATAATCCTCATTAATAAAATATGATATTGGTGCTGTTTTTGATAAGTGTCCTAAAAAAGGTGAAAAACTAAAAGCATTAGAAAAAGAAATTGTAATTGATATTGATATGGATGCATATGATGAAGTTCGTACATGTTGTTAAGGAGCAAAAATTTGTGAAAAATGTTGGAAATTTCTTTAAGTAGCCTGTGAAATTTTAAGGCCAGCTTTATTTTAGGATTTTGGATTGGAACATGTTTTAGCAGTCTATTCAGGTAGAAGAGGAATACATTTATGGGTTTGTGATAGTCATATTAGAAAATCTACTAATGAAGTAAGATCTGCAATTATAGGATATTTGAATATTAATATAGGTAATGCTGATGCAGAAGAAATCATAAAAGAAGTAAAATAAGATAAAATTGAATATTTACATCCTTCTATTTAAAGAGCTTACTTTATAGCACAACCATATTTTCGACAAGTGATCTTAACAGACCAAAATAGTCTAAAAATAGATACTGTTAAGAAAAAGATTCTTACTATTTTAAAATAAGCAAAAATTCTTAATTCTAAATTAGAGAATATTATTAAGGAATCTAATGATTCTGTGTAAATTTGGGAAACTATTTGTTCTTAAGATTCAGAAAGACTTGATATTGCAAAATTATAAATCATTTTAATGTGTTTATATCCTCGTCTTGATGCACATGTTAGCACAACAATAAATCACTTGTTAAAAGGACCTTTTAGTATTCATCCAAAAACATGTAATAATTTACTTTTACAAAATTAGAACGTGTTTGTGTTCCATTTAATCTAAAAAATAGTTCATAATTCAATCCATTAGATGCACCTACTCTACCTAATATTATAAAAGAATTAGCATAAATACCAGATGATTAAAAAAAAAGAGAAAGTGATAAATATGTTTTCCCATTTCTAGGAAAATAAATAGGATGCTTATAACCTTATTTTTAATTATTTGAAGATTTTATCTCTAGATATAATAAACCTAAAATTAGCTGATGAATTAATTATTATATGAAACCAATTAATCATTTAATTAAAATATCTGACAAATTATTTTTTATTTTCATCTATTCAAAAACTGTCCATTCCATTTAATTTTAAGTACTTGCTCTAATTTCTCTTAGGTTTCGTTGTAAAAATACTCCTTTGATTCTATTTGAATAGGTTGTTGTGTAAGTTTTAACAAATTAAGAGATTCGATTTAATTATTATTTATCTTAAATGATTGACCAATTAGGTAAATAATTAATATGTAAACTATCATCTTATAAACAAAACTAAATATTATGTTTAATTTACTCTAAATAATACTCTTTATGCTTATTCCCATTATAAATCTAGTAGAGCAAAAGATAGGTTACTCAATTACACTTCTTCAGTTTTAGTTGGATCTAATTCGTATATGTCATTGTTTAACTTGAATAAGAATTCAAAGAAAGAATCTGTCAATTTATCATTTGATAAACTAGCTAAGTGTTTACAACAATCTGAAAGCATTTTCTCAATTGTATAGAATAGAAAAGCCTAAGAAGTAATTATAAACATTCACTTGTTTTCCAAATAACAAACTTAAATAGTCTTGATATTTGAAATCTTTATTTTTTATTTAATAAAGCAGAGCATGCTTAAATAACTTGTATCTAATTTCTATTATTTTCTTCTTTTCTTTTTCATTCAATCCTAATATTGAAAAAAAAACAAATACTCTCAAATTTTTCATTTTATTCAAAATTCTAACTAATTTAATGTGCTAATTCTATTCTTTGATATAATGAATAAAAATATCGAAAAAACAAATAAATTCCAGATGTGCCATAAATTATTTTCCCATGTGGTTTATACTTACTCTAATAATTGGATATTAATTATAATTAGTTTCTTGGAAAAACATCTTATTCATCAATAAGAGGTGATTTAAGAGTTTTGATTCTCTACATTTCATAATCAGATTCTTCAAAGTCATCTGAATCTTTTCTATTATTACTGTTTGAATTATTGTTAGTCATTTAAGATTTTTTTATTTATTCATATTCAATGTTAAATTAATCAATATAAGAGAATGATGAATTAGTAACATATTATTCAATAACTGATAGCTCTGCCCTCAGAAGAGAAAAATTATAATTCTAATCAACCAACTAAAGATTGAAGTATCCTTAACATAACTTTTAGAATAAATCAAGAATCCAATCTGATTCATTTAAATTTGATTATTCTACATAATACTTAAAGATTTCAAAAGTTTCTTCCAAAAGTGATTTACTTGAGATGTATAAGCTAAAAACAGTGCTTTGGTCAATTTCATTAATATTAACATATTTTCCATGACTAAGAGGTTTAATTGTTGTTAACTATACTAAAGAATTTAAATATTCTGCTTAAATAACATTATTGGTTTATATTTATGTGAATTTTTCATCAGGTTCTTTTAGAAATCTAGAAGCACAAGTATATTGCTTTTCATTTTTTTTAAAATAAAAAGATCTATGATCTAAAGATCTTGAAAAATTGTTTTTTTATGTCATTTTCCAAGTTTAATTGGCAATTTCTCTAGATTTAACTAACTCCTAACATTTTTGGTTTAATCTATCTCTTAAGATAGGAGAACATGCAATTGGATTCTTTTACCATAATGTGATAACTTCTTCTTAATCTTTACTATTAGTTTTATAGACAGATTATAAACATTTAATTTAGAGTATTTTTTTAATTTGCTATTCGATTGCTTATTAATTGATTGTGTATTAATTGTTTGCTGAAATAAATTAATCAAGTAACTATTTTAGAAATAAAATGATACTTTAATAGTTCTTCTATAACAATTAATATTGACATCATATTCAAACATTTCATCTTCCATTTTGAAGAGTTGTTCTTCAAAACTATTTTTCCTCATAATTGAGAATGAATAATCTTCACTTCCAAATGGTACTGATACCCACAGATGATTTAAAACATTAGGTAATTTAGGATCGTTTTTCATTATGTTTGCATAACCAGGATGCATTCTTACATATGAACCTGTAATATGTTCAGCATTTTTAAAATCAGTGTCTTTAAGTGGTTTAAATAATTGAGTTTATTATCTACGTGCAGGTGCTCTTGTAAAAATAGCTATTCTGAGTTCATCTATAATCTCTTAATCAATCCATGTATGTGATGATAAAATGTCCATTAGCTCATATTAAGTGATTATACATTCTGTATATAAATGAATGACATTTACAAATTCATTGAAGAATTGATTAAAATCAGATTCTTATGTAAAATGGCTAAAGCACTTTAATCTTAATTTATCCAATACAATAATTTCATTTTTAATCTCTCTACTTACTTGTAATTGATAAGCATTATTGTAAAAATATTATGTATAATAAGCTTATTATGATTATATTTCTTCCATGTTAGGAGCATTGGGTTTGATTCTCTTGGTCTTAATGTCATCCCAATCCACTTGAATTTTCTACTTCTATTTCTTGACTTTGAAAGCATTTTGAATTTCTTTAATAGCTTCAGGATCATCTTTAAATTAGATTGATATTAACTAGAATATGATATAAATGTTATAATTACATCTAATTATTACTGTTGGTCAAGGTTTCCTTTAAGAATCAAATTCTTAGATTAATCCAAAATATTGCTTCTACTCTTGTCTTATTTAAAAATCGACTCTAATTGTTGAATGGCATCATTCGATTTGATTCGAGCATCATGATAAAATAATTTATTAACATTTTCAATGACAGTTGGTTAATCAGAAAAGAGCTTTTTAATCTCACTGTAATAGTGGGGTATACTTTATCTATTCTATTTGTAATCTTTCACAAGCACAACTAGCTATCTATAAATTACAATTTATAATTTACTAATATAATGATGGATAGTCTCTTCTCAATCTGTTACAAAAAGCTTCACAATTTTTAAATCCTCTTTGAGTTTATTCTTCTTCAAGGTAAGAATTATTGTTCTGACCTTCACTCATAGTAATATAAATATATAAAAATTAATGATTTCTATCTCTTATTTGATTCGTTGACTTTTGCTTTGAACAGATACCTGATAATTTAATTATCATATAATAATTTGAATCAAAAATATCCATTATCTTGAAATGCTTGATGTAAAGCATTAGAAACATTGAATTAAAGTAACTCTCCTAGCCTTTAATATTCTTATCTTAATCTTGTGTTTTCTGCATGAGATTCTCTTAATGCTTTTTCTAAGCTATGAATTCTTTCAGTTTATTGAATTCTTTCATTCTATAATAAAATGCAAAAATTACTTCCCAAGCTTGACGATCTATTTTCTATTCATTAAGTAACTAATTTAAAGAATCAGATTGCATTTTTCTTTTTTATTCAATTTATGCATTCAAAGTGTTAATTTCACTTTCATATTTTTCTACAGCTGACTCCTTAACTTTAGCTTGTTATTTGAGTGAATCGCATTTCTATCTCAACTCTTAGTTTTATCTAATAAAATCTTTATTTTAATTTTTGAGTCTGTCCAATTCATCATATAATACTTAGACTTCTTATTTTCCATTTAAGATTCTATCATCATACTCTCTTGCAGCATCAGCATTTCTTTTTATAATAAAATCTCTAGCCTCTTCCATAGCTCTTATCTTGGCATCCAAAGTAGTAGAAACAATATGATATTTTTAGTATTCCTCTTCTTAAATCCTTCTTCCAAGATCTCTTAATTCTTGATCATAAGTTAATTATAATTAAATTTATCTTTCTTATAAAGATCTTAATTCTTCTTCCAATATCCTATTTTCTTATTCAAGTTATCTAGATCTTTCTTCTACTGCTCTACATCTATTCTCCCAATCCCTAACTAAATCTCTTGCTCTAAAATTATTTTCATTCAAAGCTCTATCTAAATTAGTTCTATGTTTTTTTTCTAATTCATTTAAAATGAATTCATTCTATCTAATTTTCTCTTCCATTGATCTTGTTACATCTTCTTATTATCTTTCCATTAGTTAATATTCATCTCTCAATTTCTCGATGGAATATAAACTGGCTCTATTGTCAGCTTCTAATTATCTAGTTTTAGCATCTAATTCTTCTAATAATCTTGTGTCTGCCTTGTCTCTCCTCATTAATTCATCTAATTCTCTTTCCATTCTTTATTTAATGTGCATAGTATGTATTCTCTCTTACTCTAACATTTATTCCAAATGTTAAACAACTGATGCTCCTGCCAATCCACTAATCATTGGTTCTTCCTCTTCTACTATATCTTCATCAATTGATAAAATTCTATCCTTTTATATTGGATTACTAGCTCTATGTTATTCTAAAATATCCTCTATAGCTTCTTAATCCTATTAAATTATCTCTGTTCCATTTAAATCTAAATAGAGAATTGCTTTGTTATCTCCTACAGCAGATAATAAGTATTCTCCACCTTTCTTACCAAGTGCATTCCACCTCAAATCTAAAGATAATAAAGTTGTATTCTATCTCAAAGCATTTGCTAAAGGTTCTATTTGATCTCCTGTTAACTTATTGTTAGATAAACCAATATGCTAAAGTGACTTATTTGAAACTAAGAATCCTGCTAATGTCTCTATTCCTACTCCATCAGATCCTATCTAATTCCATTCCAAAGATAAAATCTTTAATAATGGACATCCTCTTAATGCTGTTACTATTTCCAAAAATCTAATTATTAATTTTCATTTATACCCTTAAGCTTTAATATTATTACCTCTCAATACCAAACATTTCAAATTCTTATTGTTTTTTACATAATTCGATAACAATCTTGCTCCATCATCCCCTATATACATTTCTGATAAATCTATTCTTTAGGCATTCTTTAACTACTCCAGCATTGTTTATAACGATACACTCATTTCAAATTTAAATTTTTTATTATTAAATTATTCATATACACAAATAATCACTTCTACTTATTTTTCAATTTATTCATTGTTTGACAGGACCCAACATCTTCTAAACCATCTATTATATTTTCTGATTTAAATTAACTATTCATTCTTTTTTATTCTTTTGCCTTATTCTCCTTATCTTTACTACCCTCATACTTCTCTTTTTCCTTATTTAAAACTGCTATGTATTTCTCTTTTTATTGTATATTTTTTTGTAAAGTTCTTATATCTGCAATCTTTGCTTCTCTTTACAAACATAATTCATGAATTTATTTTTCTAATTGAATCTATGCATTCTCACTCTTTGTAAGATCACTCTTAAGTTTTTCAATTAAAGCCTAATTCTCATTTATTTCGTTTGATTAATTTGTTACTACATTCATCATTTCCTTTTATTTTTATTTTAGTTTATCATAATTATCATTTATTTCTCTAAGTTACATTTCTAATTTCTCTTTTTCTTATTATTATTTCTAACTAAAAGCTTAGATTTATCCATTTTCAATCTGATAGAGATTGTTTTGATTCCTTAATTCAAATAAAGCTTTTTAATCTTCTTTATGTCTCAATTAAAATTCCAAGTTTAATTTTTCGTATTCAGAGATTTTTTTTTCTAAATCAACTACTTTTTTTTCCAACTCGGCTATTCTTCTCTCCTTTGTAAATAGATTGTTTCCTAATTTTAGATTAACAGCCATTTTATAATTATTAATTATTTTCTATAATGAATTAAAGTTAATAAGGGCAAGAAGTTTACAAAATTATATTAGTTGGAGATTAAGGAGTAGGAAAATCTTCAATATTACTCAGATACACAAAAGATCTTTTTTATAGAGAATATAATGTTACAATAGGACTTGAATTTGCTAGCAAAAAAGTGACTATCTAAGATAATTCATTGACCCTTTAAATTTGGGACACAGTATATAATCTTAATTATTACATAAAAGGCAGGTTAAGAAGCTTTTAGAAGTATTGCTAGATCTTTTTATAGAAATTCTGCTGCTATCATAATCGTATTTAAATTGACAAGGTTCATTTTCTAAAATATTAAAGTCATGATACTTTTTAAAGTATATCTGGATGGGCAAAAGATATCCATGATAATAGTGATTAAGGCGTAGTAATTTCTTTGGTAGGTAATATGTCAGATTTGGAGTCAGAAAGAACTGTATCAAAGGAAGAAGCTCAACAAAAGGCTTAGGAATTAAATGCTCTATATTTTGAAACCTCAGCTGCTACAGGTTCCAATATTGATGATGTAAGATATCAATCTAATAAGACATCTAGATTTTTATCAACACCTTGGAGAAAGTAGCAAAACAACTTAATCCAATTAGAACAAATTCAGAATAAAATGTTAGAGATTCTATTCAGTTATCTTAAAAATACTCATCGTAATCTTAGATAAATTAGGAATTGGGAGGAAAAAAAGGAAAATAATAAGATGAATCTAAAAAAGGCTGCTGTTGAATTATTTAGAATTATAAAATTTATCGCCTATAATTACATCATATTTATATTATTCAAAAAGAAAAGTTTGTGAGATTTCAGCTTTAAATTCNTTTCCTTTTATTTTTATTTTAGTTTATCATAATTATCATTTATTTCTCTAAGTTACATTTCTAATTTCTCTTTTTCTTATTATTATTTCTAACTAAAAGCTTAGATTTATCCATTTTCAATCTGATAGAGATTGTTTTGATTCCTTAATTCAAATAAAGCTTTTTAATCTTCTTTATGTCTCAATTAAAATTCCAAGTTTAATTTTTCGTATTCAGAGATTTTTTTTTCTAAATCAACTACTTTTTTTTCCAACTCGGCTATTCTTCTCTCCTTTGTAAATAGATTGTTTCCTAATTTTAGATTAACAGCCATTTTATAATTATTAATTATTTTCTATAATGAATTAAAGTTAATAAGGGCAAGAAGTTTACAAAATTATATTAGTTGGAGATTAAGGAGTAGGAAAATCTTCAATATTACTCAGATACACAAAAGATCTTTTTTATAGAGAATATAATGTTACAATAGGACTTGAATTTGCTAGCAAAAAAGTGACTATCTAAGATAATTCATTGACCCTTTAAATTTGGGACACAGTATATAATCTTAATTATTACATAAAAGGCAGGTTAAGAAGCTTTTAGAAGTATTGCTAGATCTTTTTATAGAAATTCTGCTGCTATCATAATCGTATTTAAATTGACAAGGTTCATTTTCTAAAATATTAAAGTCATGATACTTTTTAAAGTATATCTGGATGGGCAAAAGATATCCATGATAATAGTGATTAAGGCGTAGTAATTTCTTTGGTAGGTAATATGTCAGATTTGGAGTCAGAAAGAACTGTATCAAAGGAAGAAGCTCAACAAAAGGCTTAGGAATTAAATGCTCTATATTTTGAAACCTCAGCTGCTACAGGTTCCAATATTGATGATGTAAGATATCAATCTAATAAGACATCTAGATTTTTATCAACACCTTGGAGAAAGTAGCAAAACAACTTAATCCAATTAGAACAAATTCAGAATAAAATGTTAGAGATTCTATTCAGTTATCTTAAAAATACTCATCGTAATCTTAGATAAATTAGGAATTGGGAGGAAAAAAAGGAAAATAATAAGATGAATCTAAAAAAGGCTGCTGTTGAATTATTTAGAATTATAAAATTTATCGCCTATAATTACATCATATTTATATTATTCAAAAAGAAAAGTTTGTGAGATTTCAGCTTTAAATTCAAAACTCTTCCAAACTTATTCTGAGCATCTCTAAATTTCTCTTGCTTTTTTACTTATATCTAAATGTCTCATATAGTATATCAAAACCAAATGTATTTTTAATTAATTGCAATCAAATTATCTGATTTCTTTAGCAGTTCAATTTAATATTAAGGCTAATTAATCTTCATAATTTCCATAAAAATTGAATATTTATATAAGCTTTTAAAATTAATCTGCTATTATATAATTGTTACTACAGCGCTATATCTTTTAGTTAATAAGAAATAGGATTTCCTAATAATTTTCTTAGAATGTGAAACATCAATTATTTCTTTGAATAAATAACAAAAAAGAATTCAGGCATCTGTTTTTGTTCTTCTAAATTAAATAGTTTTGAGAAGATATTAGCATCAAATTCCTCTTATAACAGAATTCAATTTCAATTTCAGAATCTATTTATTCAATAAATAAATATTTTCTGAAATTTTTGGAAATAGTAAATATTAAATTATATGAACAAATATAAAATATAAAAGAGTAAAAAAATATAAAACAAAAATTCATTAAGGTTTAAACTTTTTGAGTAATTGCACAATCTTTAATCTCAAATCAAAATATTCACATTTTATAAATTGCAAAATTACAGGGTGCAGAATCTATTCTTGAAAATATAAAAAATCAAGCATTAAACCCATATTATGAACTTCTTCATTTTTCCTTTCAGTTTCCTCTATAAATTATGCTAAATTAGAATATATAGAGGATAATAAAGTAGGCTTTACGGTTTCTAGAATTTTATTATTCAGATTATTATTGGTTTAAAATAAACTTATTATATTAATTATTGTAGTCTATTAAGAAATATTTTCCTTTGTAACTATTTAATTGATGTAAAACATTGTAATTAATTCAATTATGATTAATTCCTATTCTTAATTATATTGAAGTGATAAGAAATATTATACCCAATCATAAATTTTCTTACTTTACATTAAAATAGGTTCTACAATTTATCTGAGAACATCTTAATCTAAATATGAAATTATTTATGAAATCAAATGCTTTATTTTATTGATAAAAATGATCTATAATCTTTCTGAATTATCATTTAAAAATCTTTAGCATTTCTAATAATAATTATAATTTGTACATTCAATTAGAGGATCAAAGCTCGAATAAATTTTACAGTTGGTTCAATCATTTTTGATGTTAACTTTTATCTAATAATAATATCATATGATGTGCATAGCATTTCTAATAATTTATGAAATCTTAATTGAACTCCTATTGAAGCAAATTATTCAGAAATAAAGTTTAACCATTTAATAGCATCTTCTTCAGTTACATCATAACCAGGCAAACATTATGAAACATAGGATTTTAAAATGGAATCATCAAATAAGTAATTTTCATTACAAACTAGAGCCATTAACTTAGAACTAATGGCAAATGACTTTTATTGTTAGGTTTTAAATCCTTG